TATTCATACAAATCCGAATGTAACAGCTAGATGGAACTCGAATTCCCATGCAATTGATTACTTTACGAGGGGCGGAATAATAATACTTTCGTTATTGATGCGCAGTTCGACTACCTGGCTAGATGTCCGTATTATTCTACAATTATGAAATAAATTCTCATAGGCGGAAAAGTTTCATCCAAGTAGCCGATACCAACAACTACCATACCGATATATCTTTGTGCCAAATTCAAATTTTATTAACTCTTACGTACGTATCAGTAGTTTCTACCATTGCTATTAGCATATTTTACGCAATACGAGTTATTAATAGTTTTCGATACGATTTAATTAAAAGTAGAATTAAAACATTCATTAGGCAAACAAAGACCATTTCTCGTTTAACTTTCTTTCACGTTTATATAAATTGGATGGAAAATATATTCTTTTACTCTTGCTTTTAACTTTTACAGTCAAATTCTGCCAACACATTTATTTATTTTTTTCTTCTTCTCCTTTTTCGGCCCGAGTCAAATTAAACGATTACTGGCGTGTCTATTTCACAATTAAAGGTACGTTATGAATAAAATGACATTCAACATTTCGGCAATGCACCGATATAAGCAACGTATGCACGAAACGTATAGATTTCTGTTAACCAAACGCGCGACGATTCCAAAGTTCTTGAAATTCTTTTATTTTGCTTAATGTGACGCGCTGGTTAATGCTTCAAACCATGGAAACAAAAACGTTACACATCGTTGGAATTATAATATAATTTCAACCGAAAGCGATCGTTAACGTGATCCACTAACAGTCCCGCCTCTAACTTTTAGAACAACTGCGGTTTAATAAAAAGATCTGACATACGAAAGAACGTTATTTCAATCTATATATTAGAAAATGTAGAAAGCATTCGATATGAGAAAGGAAATAATTATATTTCCAAATATATAGCTTACGCGAAATATTAATGTTTAGTTGAAGATGCCGAATTTTAAAAAATTTAAGAAACATTCTAGCGAATCATATTGCAAGTTGCCTCGGTAATGAACAAATGATTCGGAAATAAATCATAATTCTCGTGTTTAATTTATTTATGATCCATCTAACGATAGTTAACTCGTACTCGAGTAATAGTCCGAGAGATTATATATACCACATATGAGATAATTATAACAATATATATATATATATATATATATAT